AGTAGACCTGTCGCCTGCCCGTGGAGAAAGGTGCCGAGACACAGGGCGCTGATTGGCCAGTTGGCAGACGAGAGCAATAGCCGTGATCAATGAGAGGGAAAGAGAGGAACCGTACAAGCTTTTAAGCCATCTAAAGAGGCAAAAAGTGCACGTTTTCGCCAGGGAATTCGAGCACAAATTTTAAATCAGGCTTTTGAAGACATTTTGTTCTCTGCAAATACAGTTTTCAAGCCGAAAATATTTAGGGCGATTCGTAGAAATCATGTTCAGTAGTTTGCCACAATTAAAAAAAAAATCGATGCCGGGGTTGCCAGGATTGTTTAGGACAGGTTGTGAGGATCGGCAGGTTGTGCAGGGGTTGCAGGATCGTTTAAACTAGTTTAGAAGGCATTAAACGATACTTTTCGGGGAGCGAACGAGAACATAATGTTTAAAAAATTTTCCCGCTAAACTTAGCGTGAAAACTGATGTCACGTAACATTGGTGACGTGACGTCATGACACGTGCCCTGACGTCAATTCACCCGAAAATGACACCAAGCGACGTCGTGCTTTCAATTGACACCACGACTTCATGTGATGACGTCACGTCACGTGACCACGTCGCGTGATGTCAGTTTACGTGACGCCATTTTCCCCTCGATCTGTCGAGGAACTGACGTCACGTAGCCGGACGTTACGCAACAGAGTCACATCACGTGACGGTGTGAATTCGAGGTGTCACTGATACCATGACGTCAACTTCCCCGCTAAATTTAACGGAAAATTGCATAGACCAACAAATATCTGGGGTTATGAGGTTCCGTGAAACTGAAAAGGAATCCATGCTTTAAGGATGATAATAATATTATTAACAAAGATCTAGCCTTGGACTGCTACTTTTTATTGTATTTGTAAATGACCTTGCGACTAGTAGGTAATTTAGAGGTGCTTCAATTCGCTGACGGTGTTAAAATGTATCGTAGCATTAGCACTGCTGCAGACTGTGAGCTATTCCAGCTTGACCTTGATGCCAAACGACGTTGGTGTAATGCAAATATGTTATATTTATATTCCATAAAAACTAAAGTTGTTTCTTTTTCATGCGAGACTAATACCATTGTCCACCCTTATACATTAGATGGCTCTGACATATCAAGGTCTACAGTTGTGCGTGACCTGGGAGTTTCGATTGATTGACGCTGGAAGTTGGGTGCTCATATTAGTAAAATTGTCGATCATTCGTTTCGTTTGCTGGGTGTAATATCGTCTATTACTCAAAACTTCCACACCTTTTCGTGTAAACTTGATCTTCTTCGCTCACTAGTTTTGTCAAAGCTGGAAGTTTCTTCAAATGTTTGGAATTCCGTACACGTAAAGCAAACTCGTCATTCGGAATGTGTGCAACAACGGCTTGTTCGAATTGTTTATGATCACCATATCGGACTTGAGCTATATTATGATTGTGTGAGCATTTTGGAAACTCTTCGTCTTTCGCCTCCTTCTGAAACAAGATTAACTCGTGATACACAAAGTACCCAATGCTCTTAGTCCCTCTTGTTACCTGGCAAGATTTTGTTTCATGTTCCCCGACGACAAAATAGGTACAAGAGACTTTTACGCTCCTTACAATCTGAAACTCCCTTCATTTGCTATCAACTTTTCTATGATAAATCAAATAACGCTGATATCGACTTTTTGTTTTATATCCATTGAAACGTTTCAAAAATTTGTACGATGAATAATTGCCCATTTGAATATTTTATTCAAAATTTATAGGCAGTTTTTTTTTAGAGTTTCAATGGAAAAATGGGGGTTGGTGGAGCCCTCGAATACAAGGAGCTGAATGGCACCAATAACCGAGAATGTGCCCCGTTTTTGTTTTTTTTTATTATTATTGAAACGTAAAGAAAATCGCTAATAACTTGTGAAAGAAATAGCGGTTATCTAAAACTTTGCAATCTAGTTTAGACCTCTAGGGTCAAATTTGGGGGAAAACTAAGCGTCCAACGATACGTAGTTTATTTTTGCGGTGAAAAAAAAAACTGTACATTTTTTTGGAGGACATGGTGTATGTCTATAAAATTAGCAATGTCCTATTGGAAAATCTTGATGATTGAACGATGATGAAAAAACAAGCCAGTCGTATTATGGGACATCCTATTTCAGCGAAAAGACGATACCACTATGGCCTTGCTGGTATCGCCTTTTCGCTATATACAGGGGTAAGTGTTTTTTCTTTTTTTTTTTATGCTTTACAGATGTTTTTAAAAAAAAACCGTGAATAGGGGAATAATCGCAACACTCAGGCGGCTAATTAAGTAAACTGAGCTAATTAAATTTTTAATTAGTGAAAATAGACATACGGTTTCATTAAAAAAACTTGCTGAGAATCATCGAAAACCACTAGATGAACTCTTTTTAGAAGGATATAGTGCGGGGGCAGCATTTTATGGCATTCCGTAAACACGCTCCATTTGGACGCGTTTCTAGGTTTCGGTTTCTAATCAGAGCACCTCTTTGCGCCGCGGTCCTCCTCCCAAGTGGCTGACATGCGCAACACACGTGCGCCCTACTTCCCTCCATCGTATACGAGGGAGGCGAGGGGGTGGCTTCGCGCCGCGACCAGCGGGGAGAAGAACCACGGCCGCAACGATGCGCTCCGACAAGAAACCGAAATCTGAAAACGCGTCCAGATGTAACGTTTTTTTTTGTGTTTGTTTTTTTCAGAAGGCCGTAAAATGTTGCCTCTTTCTATTTTCATAATGCCTGGCAAGTTTCTAATTGAAACCTTATGTCTAGTTTCACTAATTAAAAAGTTAATGAACAAATTATACTTAATAAGCCGACTGATCGTTATCATTAGCCCCCTGCATTACGTCTCCCTGGCCGAATAACTCACCCGCACAAACCGCTTAAGTGTAGCTTTCCCGGCTTTTTAGAGCGCAGCTCTTAGGTTGGGCGAGCTGCCTCGGTGGCTCCGAGGCGAGAGCGCCGGCCTACAGATCCCCAGGTGGCGGGTTCGAATCCCGACCGAGGTGCCCGCAATCTGACGGAGGCTTATTGCGGAGAAGGCGCCGTGTAACCGAGTTTTCGGTTGTACGTCAAAAGACCACCCGGGTGGTCCAAATTAATCCTCAGTCCTCCGCTGTGGCGTGCCAGATGCCCGTCGTTGGTTTGGCACGTAAAACCCCCGAATTTGACTTTTTTTTTTTTTTAGGTTGGGCGCCCGTATCCGGGTTTCGCGGCGTCGCCGTCGGCGTAACCACCCCGCTAAATTTAGCGGGAAATTGAATTGGCATTGAGCTCACGTGACGTCAATTTTCCCGCTAAATTTAACCTGGTTACGCCGACGCCAACGCCGCGAAACACGCATACGGGCGCCTAAAAGCTGTGCTCTAAAAAAAAAAAAAAAAAAAGCAGGTTTTCAGACAAAACTCGTCAAACGAGACAGGTCTGTAAACAGAAAGGTACGAAAACAGGGCGCGCCATCTATCGGTCTTCTTACCAACGAATTCCCGCGTCGACGGAGGAGCCACGCGTGCACTGATCGCTTTAATCCCTACCCCCGTTCTCGGCCCTTACGCTTCCTTCAGCCGTACCGCCGTGCCCAGCCTTCCCCCTCTTTCGGCCTCGACACCCCTTCCGGCTCTTTCGCAGTCGTCGGCCTAGCCCGGGCCCGCACTCGGCAGTTCAGGCTTGCTCGGCCCTTCCGCAAGGGCCGGCCGAACTGGTAGACGGAGAGTTTGATAGCATGTATTCATTAGGTGGTACTGTCATGAATACGCTGACATTTCAATGCAGCCCTATATTACCAAATCGTTAACCTTGCCAGGCAACACTAAAAACCGGAAGCATTTTTCTAAATTACCTCAGCTTCAAGTTGACCCCGGCGGATGCTTTGAGCCATAGTTGCGAATTCAGTGCAGAAATCAAGCCACGTGACCTTGCAGTTGGACGCCACAGTACGTCGAGCTTATAATCACGTGCCACGCTGTTTTCGCTGCAATGGCTCGTAGTGTCAAAACTGTTCCAGCTTAAAGAGAGGAGATGTTTGCAAGTGGGGCCCTGGCCTCGTCTTGAGCTACGTGGCGAGGTAGGTACTCAGAATCTATAACCGGGATGTTTGCTGCCTGTCACCACACCATCAGCTTGTGGCCAGCGAATGTTCGAGCTCAGTACATGACCTCGACGACGCAATTATTGAACAAGCAACTCTAGGAATGTTACAAATTACTTTGACTTGCAGAGAAACTGCGTCTCAACAACTAACGACTTGGGATACCTAACTGAATACTGATATACCAATTAAATGCAAAAAAAAAATTTATCTGACAGGCAATCTATTTTCCCACAGGCTCGATCGACTCCCATCTAGTCGCAGGAGTCGATGCGTAATAGGACAGTACAAACAAAGATAGGTCTTGAAATTCCTTTGGCACGCCCCAAAAGATGTTTTTTTTAACGATATAGCTGTACGAGCTACTTTATTTAACAAGTGCCTCAGCTGCACAAATGCATACGCATCAATAAGGACACTCGCCAAGCTTACCCTTCTAAGCACTGTCCACGTTATGCTGAGGTAGAGTATAGAAGTTACCCGCTCACTGTCTGAAAGAGAACGGCAGGGAAACGGCAGAGAAAGAAAAAGCGTGTTACGCTTTTATTTGCTGCTCCCCTCGCCCCGTGTAATAGATGTAGCGTCCTCGTTAAGCCTTACTGAGCTGGATTCGCTCGATTCGGGACCGCCGTAATGAGATGCAGACGACGAAGGAACTTTGCTCTCCAGCTTTCAGGGAGGAAAGTTTTTCCCCTTCTGAGTGAACATAGGTCCCAAGAGCGCTCCTCCTTTTCAGGAGGACTATATGGGCCCTTTTTTCTAAGAGTATTATTTTTTCAGCAATGGCTGTACCATGGTGCAGCCATTGCTGAAAATCAGTTTCACATTGGCGAGGATGCGTGCTTTGAACAAAAAAACTTTGCAATACCTAATGTGAGTTTATTTTCTTTGATAGGAACAAGATGAACTTCGCCATGACGTTCCTGTGTAAGTTTATTTGTCTTTAGTGCTTTATTCTTGTGGCTTGTTTTAGTGGAATAAACTGGTCTGATAGATAGTGACGCACTTCTGGTCTTGAGTTAAAACTGTTATGTTATTTACTTTTTATAACTCAACATTTAGTGCTGACTGGTGCGGCGTCCGGAGGACTTGTTCGGGTAAGTGTTACGTCAAATATTCTTATTAGATGAAGACTTGTGCATGGGAAGGATAATCACGATCATTGCTCTAATCATAAGCGTTAGGTTTTATATGTAACAACCCGCCTCGACCCTCAGTTCCCACCGTATATGCTAAATTTTTTTTCATGTTTGCGTGTAACGGCATAAGGTAACAATCTTAAAATGTTCACTAATACGTTTATATGAGAAAGATGTAACGCGAGCTACTCTAACAATATCACTACTGTGCTAGAACAACCTGTGTTCAGTCGCATATCTTGTCATTGAACAGATGACAACACAGTATACCTGTTAAGAAAGATACCAACAAGTAATCACATCAGCAACGTCGAAAACAAGCCTCTGTACTGTGCAAGGATTGTTTTGACATACATGGAGAGAGGCCACTCGTGGTAAAACTGAAGAAATTCGCTTCCATCTCGGGCATCGTTTGGTGGCCGCAAATTGCATTCGTATTGACACTCGTCTGTACACTCAAATAAAAGCTAAATCAAATATGCAACGATACTACACTCCAAAAAAGGGGCAAAAAGAAATAAAATTAAAGAAAAAAATCTTTTTTCCTGATTGTCGCCAGCGAAAGCGGAGGAAATTGCTGCCGTTTTTCCATTTCACCGATTCCCATCCAGCGCCGTCTGGTGGCGCTGGAAAAAGGGACGAAATCTTCCTCTTCCATGTTCGCGGCGGCAGCTGCCACCGCCAGAATGTCTAATGGCGGTGACGGCAACTTGAGTGCTTGGTTGCTTTTTACAAACTTAGAGCTCTTAGAACGGTGCGTTGAATTTAGATTGCATTAATAATAACTGTATGCATTGCTCTTGCACTATGCACAGTGTATCAGGAGCATTACAACAATAGAGAGTTTTAGTAGATCATTCTGGTTCTCCCGTAGCGCTCTACGCTAAAGCGACCCCCCTACTGCGCATGCGTGATGCTAGCGGAGAAGTAGCGAGGCTGCGGAGGCTGGCGGAAGTACGCTAGTTTTGCAAAATAGCGAAGCGCGGAGCGCGGCGTCTGTCTCGCGAGAACCACGCCGTTTGTGCCCGCTTCGAGATCGCGCTTGTCCAAGGTAGACGAAACCTTGCTGCTGCAAGAAGTATATTTGCCGATTTATCACTGGCATGCCACACACGGTCACTTTTGTCGTGGTACTTGCTAGTAGACAAGTAGGGAGCACGGGAAATGAATCGTCGTGATCTTGAAAGGTTAGCGTGATCACGTAGCTGCCAAGATCGCTGCTTTATTCGGGTCGACCCGGTTTCTAACCCCTCCACCTCCGCGAGAAACGTATACTCAGGAAATAAAGCGTACGTACCATACAACGAAAGATTATCCCTCCGGCCTTGATTTCAGTTCTACGTAAAACAGAACAGCATGTTGGCAAGAACGATCACTGCCTTACGATGATCGACTGCGTCCGACACTCGTTGTGGTCCGTCAACATCGAGACCACGACCGGCTTGCGGGAAACACGTATTTTCGAACACCTCAGCCCCGCACAAGAAATGACGCTGAAACGACGATTCGGCGAGGGAACGGAGCAACGGATCCCGAAAACGAGGTTAAGTGTTCATTCGGCAAGAGTCCACTTAGAAGAAAGAAAGAAAGGAAAGGCGAAGTGGGGAGGGAGGGTAGATCCGCGGTCTTGAAGGAATGGAGGATTCGCCACAGCCGACGGTTCAGCGCTGTTTCTTTTTAGTTTGCGCTGCATTTTCTGATAAACATAAAGTGACGCACTCGGCAAACAAAAAAAACGGCTTTTTTTTTTATGCTGCTGATTTAGCATATTTTCGCGCGGTTCCTTTCATGTCCCGAAACGAGCGCGACTGTACACGACCAAGTCAACCCGGTGTCAACAACGCGGATCTCAACCATATCGTCGCAACCTTACTGGACGCACTGATAAAAGAAGCAAATTTAAACATATTTAGAAAACAAGGGAATGGGCAAATCAAAATTATTACGTTGCACCGAAACGGTAAAATTTTCGTGAGGCGAATGGATGGGCCATTTTTATCAGGAGCGAGATACACTTGCAGCATTTGAACTGAAAAATGGTATTGTTTTTGCTTCACGACTGCGCCCATAAAATATATGCCAGATCAAAACTCTTCTGCTGCCTCTGAATTAAAATCTCATCTCGGGAATGAGTATAGGAAGTCGTTCAAATGTATTCACTTAAACACTCCATCAGCTCGGAACAAAACTGAAGAGCTTGCTTTATGTTTTCTGTTGGATGTTATGCTTTCAGAAACATGGTATTCAGACGACAGTGATGTTTTTCAACTGCCAATGTATTATGGATACTTCCTGAGTAGAACAACTCGGCGCGGAGGAGGTGTGTCGTTAATGCTTAGAGATATAATATGTGTGGTGAAGTTTTAAAAGAATACTCCATGAATAATAAAGACTATGAAATGCTATCCCTGCTTGTGAACAAGAATATTATCTTTGTGTTTTGTGGGCCGCCGGACGGCAGTTTGGTGTCTCTCTTTGCTTTTCTGGAAACATATTTCCGGTTCGCAACAGAAAACAGATATAATATTATTCCGGGTGGTGCTTTTAATCTGAATATGCTTCAAGGCACCCCAAATAAAAGACAACTAGAACTACTAATTAACAGTACGAATGTCATTACCTAACCTACCAGAATCAGCAGAATCAGCAAATTTGCTCGATTTGTTTATAACACGTTTTGAATTACCCTGTATAAAATCGGGGATAATTAGCTCAGATATAAGTGATCATCCCGGTATATTTTTGTGTATCAAAAAGGAAATATCTAAAACTACAAGGAACAGAATTCGTGGATCCTCTCAGAATATTACTGAGTATAGCATTCGTGAATTTAGGACTAAACTCTCGGAACTAGACTGGAAAGCAGTCTATAATGAAATGAACGCTGACGAAGCCTATAATTTGTTCTTAAACAAATTTCAGCTACTATATAAAGTGTGCTTTCTTTATAAATCTGTTAGATTACCCAAAATATATCGTAAACCATAGGTAACATCGGAACTTCTTAATAAAAAAATGTTTTGTTCAAAAAGTTTGTGGAAACAAGGGAGCCTGAAAATCTTGAAGTTAAAAACAGCTAGAGCAAGTTACTTTAGTAACTGCTTCATATCATCTGCAATGCGGACAAACGTCACGTGGAAAAAGCTAACCAATGTTCTAAATCGTTCTAATAACATAAAACATACCAAAAAAAATTCGCCTGAATGACACAGCACTAACGGATCAAGCACTAGCAAACGCTTTCAATAATTATTTTGTAAAGGTATCAAGAAATAATCCCGTTACAAATGCTTGCGCGTATATCGAACGCAGAAGTAAAAGCTCTATCTTTCTTCAGCCAGTTACTGATAAGGAGGTGACACAAACATTTTTATCACCAAAGAATAGTAGCAGCTGCGACGCTTACAAAATACAAATAAGTTCGATAAAATACGTTTTAGATCTTATATCGCCCTGTTTGACGTATATCTTTAATTTGTGTTTGTACCATGGGGTATTTCTCCCCAAAAAATGCAGATTGCAAAGGTTAGCGTTCTCTATAAAATAAAGGTGACAAGAATGATCTCGGTAATTACAGGCCAATCTCAATTTTATCGGTGTCTTCAAAAGGCCTCGAAAAAATCCTAATTTCGCGTATGGTAGATTACGCAGATAAACATGGTTTAATCACTCCACCAGAGGTTCGGTTCCGCAAACACTGTTCTAGAGAACTTGCACTTTTAGAGCAAAAAGAATACATTTTAAAATGCTTTGAAGAAAAAATAATGACTCTTGGTATTTTTATTGATTTCAGCAAAGCATTCGGTCTCTTAAATCAAAATCTGCTACTAAAAAATGACAAATGTATGCATTTCGTGGACATGCTGCAACTCTCATAGCATATTACCTTGCTAATCGTAAACAATGCGTTCATATAAATGGTTATTCATCTGATATTAAACCCATTTTATCTGGCGATCCACAAGGAAGCATATTAGGCGCCTTTCTTTTTAATTTATACTTTAATGATATTGCCAATATGAATATAAGCTTTAAATACGCTATTTACGGTGATGATACAAGTTTATTTTTTACCGGTAACTGTTGTCAAGAAATAGCAATTAAGGCAAATCAAACGTTGAAAGACCTAGCTGCTTGAAGCCAATGTAATGCTTTAACAAAATCAATTTTATTTCGCCCAAAAAGTAAGAAGGATAATATAACTAGTGATATTGTTTTAAATGGAACCAAAATAAAGATTCCGTCTAGTTTTAAGACACTTGGCGTTATATTCACGGATCGAATGAGTTGAGACGAACGCGTAAATTATATTTCGGTAAAATTGTCACGAGCCGCAGGCTTAATGTATTGTCATCGCCATATTCTGCCAACAAATGTAAAATTAATTATTTATAATTAATTATTTCTCTCCCACATCTTAGTCCTTCTTTGTATGAGGTAATACTACAAATACAAATTTAAACACAATACTTGGAATACAAAAGAATGTACTGCGAAGTATTTGTTACGTCTCATACGATCACCCTAGTGAACCTCTCTTCAAAAGTTGAAATTTGATGCATGTAAATAGATTACACAAATATCGTTTACGCCTGACCTACAAATCAAAAGTACAAACAAATCTACAGGCCCTTAGTGAATTGGCGTCTCTCTCGCCAAGAGTAGCAACATGTCCTACTCGAAACCGGGAATTTTGGACGTTCCCTGTTTGCAAAACCACCTACGCTGAACAAATGTTAAGATATGCACTTCCTCGACTAGTTAATTTTCTTGTTACTTACAGCATTGATCTTCCCAGAACATCTGTAACAAATCTCCGAGCATACTTTTTTTTTTTCAAATATGATTGCTTAGTTCTCATATTTCATAACCTCAATTTTTGCTAAGTTGAATAATGCTGTGCTTGCATGTACTTATGCATTTTGTTTTTGTTAGCCTCTTACCGTATTTACTCGAGT